AAAGGGGAGTGGAGTTTGCAGGGGGCAATTAGTTCAATTCATTAGGGTGAAGACCTGTTCCTGATTTCTTGCCAAGTAATTGCTGCTACAGAGTGGCGTTTGGAAGATATCGGCCTGGCAGCTCTCCAAGCCCGATAAAGGTCTGAAGTTGTGAAATCTCTGGGAAGACTTTGCTGGAGAGGAATTCCCTTTAAACTAAACAAAAGGGGTTTTATCAGGACGAGGAGTTGGATTTGTTCTTTTGGGAAGCCGAGGTGAGAACACCCGTTCGTCTCCAGTCCTGAAGATAGCAGGAAGCAAGGAAAAGGGATTGAGGTATTTTAAAACGGAAGGTGAAGATTGCGGCGTGAACAGAAAAGGAAAGAATGGAAGATGGGCAACGCTAATTCTGCCAACTGCCAGCAGTTCGATTCTGACTGGCTCCAGGTTGACTCAGCCTTCCGTCCTTCCGAGGTGGGTAAAATGGGGACCCAGATCGTTGGGGGGGAAAGAGGCTGACTCTGTAAACCGCTTAGAGAGGGCTGTAAAAGCACTGTAAAGCGGTAGATAAGTCTAAGTGTTATTGCTAAGGGCTATCTTGTTTTTTAGTCCAAGGAAGGCTCTGGAGCTGCAGAGCCTGTATCTCCGTTGGAGAACAAACATCTATTTGTTTTGAGACGAAAGGGATAACGATCTTGAAGTGTTTCTTTGGCATATAACACTCAGGCCTTTCTATCCGAGCACGACAACCCCAGAGTCATCAATAAGTTAGCAAGGAGCCTCTTATCCCCTCACACAAAGCTCTGTAATGCTGTTAACAGATTAGGAGAAGCAAAACCAAGAGGGATTAACAGACTTTCTTCAGAGAAGAACACCTACCATCCCAGGTATCTCCACCACCTAAGGAAAAGCAGAAGAGGTGAGCAGGAGGGAGAGTCAAAAGGAAAGAAGCTAACAAACCCCCCTCCCCCAACAAAAACGGAGACAATTTTAGCACAGCCCTCTTTCCAACAGACTTTAAAAGAGGCGTTGCCAACTCTTAGGACCGGCCGTCCCACTAGATTAACAGCTTCCCCAAAAAGGGAAGTTTTTGTGGGGAGCATCGCAGGAGAGGCTCCATCGTGTTCTCTGAGAATCAAATACAGACGATAGCCTGTACATGATAGGGGGATGAGGATGTGCTTTGCCTCGGGGTGGAGCAAAAGGATTGCATTTTCCCATTTTCAAATCACAATTCTCTGATCAAGGAGCGGAAAGGAAGGAAGGAAGGAAAGAAGGAAGAAAGGAAAGAAAATAAGAAAAAAATAAAATAAGAAAGAAAGAAAAAGAAAGAAAANACATCTTCAAGTTGCTAAGGTTGAGAAACACTGTTGTAGGCTTTACAATTCTGGAGATTTCGTGATGAGTGAGTGGTATTTGGCCTTTAAATATAGAAGAATAAATAACTCAAGGCAACAAACAGCTCTAATACTTCCTCCTCCTCCTCTTTTCCCCATAACAACAATCCTGTGAGGTGGTCTGGGCTGAGAGAAAGGGATTAGACCAAAGTCACCCATCTGGCTTTTTCATGGCTAAGGTGGGACTAGAACTCACCGTCTCCTAGTGATTGACCCAAAGTCATTCTGTCAACTTTCAGGTGTGAGGCAGGGCTGGAACTCCCCTGGTTCCTAGCACGTTAAGCATCACACTACACTTAAGTAGCTTAAGTCTTTCTGCTGCTGTGGTTAATCAAACCCCACACTGACCACGCCCATTCACTGCAACTACCCAGTCTCCTCCTCCTCTTCCCACCCCGCCCCCTGTTTCAGAAAAACCACTTCCCTCCTCCTCTCTGTTGCAAGATCGGGTTCCTTCTCTTCCTCTTCTGCCAGCCTGCTCACTCACCTGTGTCAAATGCCGTTGTTGCCAAGGGCTAACAGACCAATCGTCGAGTACAAAAAACGGAGAGGAGGAAGAAACACACCCCACTAAAAAAGGACACAGAACCGCACTCCGAGGTTACTTACTCGCTCGATGTACTCTTTCGCGAACTTCCATGTATTCCTGTTCGTGCTTGACGGCTGTCATGGCCACCGCTAATTCGTTAATCATCTCTTCTAGCTTGTTCTGGTGAGCTGCAGGAAAATTACACAACCTCACGCTCGTGCCAGAGATAACGACAACCCAGCTGCAACTGTGAAGCCATCCGACATGTCCACGGCGAGCAAAGTATATGAGCACAGAACCTTCTTAAAATAAAACCCAAAGCATGCTAGCTAGGTCATTTATTTTAACTCCCACCTAAACTGTTTACGGTCCAAGGAGGGCAGCTGTTAAAGAGGCAGAAACACCATTCCGAAGAGTCTCTTCCCCCACCACTCATAGAAAAACCCTTACCTCTGTTCTTTCAGGCGCTGGCACGGATTAATTTTCCATGTTGTGTTACCAAAGAAAGGAGGAATGATTCCCAGATGGGAAGAAAACCAGATCGTATCGTAAAAGAGGACCCACCAAACTTACAGGAAGAACATCGAGGCCAAGACAATTGTGCAAGCGAAGAGTGCGTTATTAGTACAATTGGTTTTTACGGTGGCTTCGAAACATGCTAACACTCACAAGCGGTTGTTTCACAGCTCAACTGCCGCTCCGGCAGAAGACATTCCAACTGTGATCTCAACTCAAAACGCTTCCCTTATCGTAGGGCACTCAGTTAAAGAACACCACAAAGCCAGTGCAGAATTATTGAGTTTGGGAAGAGACCCGACTTGCTGTCTGATCTGATCCATTGTAGGAAATCCAGAGCACNATATATATATATATATATATATATATATATATATGTATATAACTATAATACAAACACACACACATATATATGTATATAACTATAACACACACAGACACACAAGAATATATAAATGCAAATCACATGACCAAGAGGATGCTGCAATGGTCATAAGTGTGAAACAAAAAAACAAAAAGCGTCATACAAGTGGATCAGGAGACATTGCAACCATGATAAATGTGAACCGGTGGCCAAGCCTCTGAATTGTAATCCATTTAATCCATGGGGATGCTGCAACTGTCATAAATGAGAAAAATGAATAAAATATCTTTTTCAGTGCCTTTAGAACTTCAGTCATTAGAATAGAATGGAATGGAATAGAATAGAATAGAGTGGAATAGAAATAGATTATAATAGAATAGAAATAGAAATATATTAGAATAGAATAGAATGGAATAAATAGAGTGGAATAGAAATAGATTATAATAGAATTAGGAATGGAATGGAATAGAATAGAATAGAAATATATCAGAATGGAATGGAATAGAATAGAATTAGAAATAGAATAGAGTGGAATAGAAATAGATTAGATTAGAATAGAAATAGAATAGAATAGAGTGGAATAGAAATAAATTATAATAGAATTAGAAATAGAATGGAATGGAATAGAATAGAAATATATCAGAATGGAATAGAATTAGAATAGAATAGAGTGGAATAGAAATAGATTATAATAGAATTAGAAATAGAATGGAATATAAATATGTCAGAATGGAATGGAATAGAATAGAATTAGAAATAGAATTAGAAATAGAATAGAGTGGAATAGAAATAGATTATAATAGAATTAGGAATGGAATAGAATAGAATAGAATAATATTAGAACAGAATAGAAATAGAATAGAGTGGAATAGAATAGAATTAGAATAGAATTAGAAATAGAAATATATTAGAATGGAATGGAATAGAATAGAAATATTAGAATAGAATGGAATGGAATAGAGTGGAATTTAATAGAACAGAGTAGAAATAAAATAGAAATGGAATAGAGTGGAATAAAATAACAAGAGTCGAAAGGGACCCTGGAGGAAAAATATACAGTAATATACAATAGCAGAGTTGGAAGGGACCTTGGAGGTCTTCTAGTCCCACCCTCTGCTTAGCCAGGAAACCCTCCACCGCCTAAGTCTACCAACGCCTTCAACCTCCTGCCCAAGTCCAGCGGGGAAGCGGGCCGTCTCCCTTCCTCCCAAGGATCTGCGCCTCGTTCCTCCAGGAGCCACCCCGACCGTGGGAAAACCCATCGGCGCGCCTGGCCCCCGGAGCATCCTTCCTCCGCCTCCGCCCGTCTCTCTCTCTCCCTCTCCCAGGCGCTCCGCCTCTCCAAGCCGGGATGCCCAGCCCAGCCAACACTCCAGCGGAGGAGGAGGAGGAGGAGGAACAGACCGACTCAGACGGGAGGAGGGGTCTGGAGAAGCCGGGGTCGAGCCGGCCGTCTCTGGAGCGCGGCCTCCGGGCGCCCGGGCTGCCTCTTTTCCCCCTTTGCCTGGCATAACGCTTGGCACCGCTTGGCATCGCAGCGGGCGTCCTATGAAGGAGCCCCGGCCGAGGTCTGCTGGGCCGATGGAGGGCGTGGGGGGTCCGGGGGGCTCGGGGGTCTCGGCGCTGGAGAAGAGCGTGGCGGACCTGACGGTGATGGACGTCTACGACATCGCTTCCCTGGTGGGCCAGGAGTTCGAGCGGCTCATCGACCAGCACGGCTGCGAGGCCATCGGGCGGCTGATGCCCAAGGTGGTGCGGGTGCTGGAGATCCTGGAGGTGCTGGTCAGTCGCGACCACATCAGCCCCGAGGTGGAGGAGCTGCGCCTGGAGCTCGACCGGCTCCGCCTGGAGCGCGTCGACCGGCTGGAGAAGGAGAGGAAGCACCAGAAGGTGGGATGGGAAGGGGAGAAGGAGGGAAGGAGGGAGAGGAAGAGGAAAGAAGAGGCAGAAGGGGAAATGAGAGGGAAGAAAGAAGGGAGAGGGGAAGGGGGATGGAAGGATAAGAGGGAAGGAGGGAAGGAGGGAGAGGAAGAGGAAAGAAGAGGCAGAAGGGAAAATGAGAGGGAAGAAAGAAGGGGAAAAGGAGAGAGGGAGAGGAGAAAGGAGGAGAGGAAGAGGAAAGAAGTGGGAAAATGAGAGAGAAGAAATAAGGGAGAGGGAAAGGGGGATGGAAGGATAAGAGGGAAGGAGGGAAGGAAGGAGAGGAAGAGGAGAGAAGAGGCAGAAGGGAAATGAGAGGGAANGGAAGGAAGGAAGGAAGGAAGGAAGGAAGGAAGGAAGGAAGGAAAAAAGGAAGGAAAAAAGGAAGGAAAAAAGAAAAGAAGGCAACCACAGAATAGTCTGTGGGAAGGAAGGCTGGGAATCTAAGAGATAAGAAAGACTAGAGTAGTAGAGAATGAGTAAATAGAAGAAAGGGCTATTCACTCGTATAAACCAGGGGGAAAAGTCTATCAAGGACCTTCTAAGAGATAGGAAAGAGCTGAGGGTAAAGTTGAGCCTGCCAAGCATATCCATACAAACAGCACCATGAAGGCCACACAGAGAGATAAAGACCACGGGACACAAAAAAAGTCAGCCACCAGCCCGATGTTCAGAACCATGTTTCAGTGTGGCACCCCCTTCCTATACAGCCACTCATCCTATCCGGAGCTTTGAAGAGAGACGAAAGCTGAGACGCCTAGACACGAAGGGGCGTTGGGATGGCGAGCTCTGCGGGAAAGGCACAAAAATGAAACGCAAAGAAGATCCACCACATGGGAGACCCGCCCCCGCCGTTACTCGGGATGTTCACATCGGAAATCGTTTCCCCTGGAAAAAATTCCATTCTGGCACTGAGAGACGTCGTGGCGACATTTCAAACCCCAAAAGAGAGAAGAGCTTAGAATCTACGAAACACATAATGTCGGCGGGGGAGGAAAGGCGGCAAGCAGGGGAATTTGTGGGGGGCGCCTGGCCTCACCTTCTGTCTCCATGTCCTGTCCCTTAGGAGCTTCCCCAATGTCGATGGTGAACATCACGATCTTTGGAGTCATGGTGGACATTTTGTTGCTGAAGCAGAACTTATACGTCCCGTCCATGTGAGCCGCGAAGGTGTACTTCCCACTGGATTCTCTGTCGCCTTTGTGGATGCCCTTGTTATCGGGGCCTGTGATCTGAAAGCAAGGGGGAAAGGGGGGGTGTGTGTTATTCTTCAATGCCCCCAAAGCAAAAGAGAAGCTTCTTTGTGGAACTCGTGTGCGAAACGTGGCAAGGGTGGTCAAATAATAACAATATATGTTTCAACGATTTGAGTTCAAAGAGAGCCAATAAGGGAAGGTAGTTTGGTTAGAACACTGTGTTTTATCGTCTCTCCAAGCATCCACACTGTTTGAGTGACTTCGGGTCAACAACTTGCCTCACAAGGTCGTTGTTATAGGAAAACCAGAGGTAGGAACATGAGGTATATAGGTAAAGGTTCCCCTTGCACCTATGTGCTAGTCGTTCCTGACTCTAGGGGGTGGTGCTCATCCCCGTTTCAAAGCCGAAGAGCCAGCGCTGTCCAAAGACGTCTCCGTGGTCATGTGGCCGGCATGACTCAATGCCGAAGGCGCACGGAACGCTGTTCCCTTCCCACCAAAAGTGGTTCCTATTTTTCTACTTGCATTTTTTAACGTGCTTTTGAACGGCTAGGTTGGCAGAAGCTGGGACAAGTCACGGGAGCTCACTCCGTTACGCGGCACTCGGGATTCGAACTGCCGACCTTTCTAACGGACAAACTCAGCATCTTAGCCACTGTGTCCCTACTGAGGTTATGTACGCTGCCTTAAATTGACAGGGGAAAAAAAGGCAGAATAAAAACATAATGTATAAGAAATCCAGCAGATGGCATTCAATACTGCTCAGAGATGGAATTCCAAAATGAATTTCAGGGTATGAAAATGTGGTATTGTTCTTACTGGATCTTATCAAATTCTAATCAGGAATCTAGTTTCCACAGTAGCCAGCCAGGAGTGTTAGAACGCAACTCACAAGAAAACTATATCATAGCAAACAGACTTGGGAGCAATCAAAATAATTATCTACACTAAAAGAAAACAGTACCACAATCCCACACAACTATGTGTCCTTGTTTTGTGTTACTTCAACCAGGAAACACTACAACCCGACACCTGTCCTAATTGATCAGTGATTTCCCAGGTAGCTCCAAACAATTATTTGTATATTTTTTTAGAAAGTTCAACAAGCTCATACAGGGCCACTGCTATTGTTCAACCTTTTCTAAACACACAGACACACCCAATAAAGCTAAACACAGATGATCCTCCCGGAGTTTATCCCGCAAAACCAACAATGGCGACATTTTTTTTTCCTGTTATAAATTCAAAAGTTCTGCTAAGAAACGACAAATAGCATTTGTCGAATTATTTGATGAAGAATTGTTGTTTGCTTGCCCATAATCTGTCCCTGCCTGGTGGACACCTCATCCTTCCTTCTTCCTCACACACAATTACTTCTAGCCCATTTTTGTCCTCGTTCTCAGGCCTTCTGCTCTTCGCCACTACGTCCAAGTAATGGATACTACCGGTAGCAAGTTACGGGTAGTTCTCTACTTTCGTTTAGCGACCATTCCAAGTTATGACGGCACCGAGGGAAGCGACTCGCGACCGTTTTTTCACACTTTTGACTGCTGCAGCATTCTCCACAGTTCACAGGATCAAAATACAAGACCCTTGCCCACTGGTTTTGTATTTATGACGGTTGCAGTGTCCTGGAGTTACGTGATTCCTTTCTGAAGCAAAGTCAATGGGGAAGCCGGGTTTATTTAACAACTGAGTTATTTAACTTACTTAACAGCTGCAGCGATTCCCCTAACAAGGGAAGGAAGGTCGTAAAATGGGAGCAAAGCTCGCTTAACAACTGTCTCGCTTAGTAATCGGAGGGCCAATCCTGGTCATAAGTCGAGGACCGCCTGTGCAAATGCATGTGGCTCTACTCCCAGAGCTCCCCTTTCTCAGAAACCAGGAAAAGATTTCTGCTCTCGTATTTATGACGGCTGCACCCTCCCAGAGTTACGTGATCCCCCTTCTGAGAAGCAAAGTCAACGGGAAAGCCGGGTTCACTTAACAACCCCGTTATTTAACTTACTTTAATAGGTGCAGCGTTTCCCTTAACAACGCCCACCAGGATGACCATAAAAAAAAGAGGCAAAGGTCGCTTAACAACTGTCTTGCTTAGTAATCGGAGAGCCAATCCTGGTCATAAGTCGAGGACCACCTTTAGATGTACATGTAGCTCCACTCTCAGCTTCCCTTCCTCAGAAGCCCCCAAACTGTCACCGCCTGAGCAGCTCCACCGCCTCTTTTAAGCAGCCCGGAGTAGAACCTCCAGCTGGCAAAGCAGTCTACCCCACTCCCCGCCCAAACCCCTCATTTTCCCCTCCTAAACGTGGGTCGGGGCGAAGATAAAAAGCTCCTCTCCACCTCCCAGCTTGCCAAGGCGCAGACCTGAGGCCGGCACTCTGCACGCGCTCAGAGGCACCCTGGCCTTCCCACAAGCCCCGCAGCCCGGATTTTTTTTTCCCACACACGCAGCCCGCCCGTCCTCCGGGACTCGCCTCGACGTCGATGTCGAGGAAGCCTCCCTCGGCCACCTCGAAGATGAGCCCCATCTTGGTGCCGGAGGGGACCCGCTCGAGGAAGCACTCCTCGGCGTGCGCGTCGATGCTGACGAAGTAACCGGCCGCCGGGGCCCAGAGCGCGGCCAGTAGCGCCAGCACGGCCCGCACCGGCGACATGGCAGGCGGGGAGCGAGGCGGGCCACGCGATGGACGGAGAACGAGGACGAGGCGAGCCGGGCCGCGAACAGGCGGGCAACGGAGAGCAAGGGGGGCGCCGCTTCCGGCCCAGGCCACGCCCCTTCCGGTGCACGGGGCCGCTCCTCATAGGCCCGAGGCCTCCTCGATGCCACGTACCGTCTGGGACGCAGCGACGCTGGGCTGGGAGGGGGAAGGCCGGGAGAGGGGCGGGGCAGAAGGAAAGAGGCGAACGCTGATTGGAGGAAAAGAACTGGACGAGGGCATGTAGAGAGGGGGAGAGATGGGTGGAGTGGCTAAGGACGGTGGCCCGCGAGGCCAATCGGCGTATCTCGAGACGGGGTGGGGGTGGGTGAAATGACTCCTGCGACGGCGGCTCGGAAGGGACATTTCCCACCAAAAAGCGTTTTGCTCTGCTGGAAAGCGGGTTTATTCTAAAGGCAACTTTTTCAACAAGCAGCCGCTTCAGAGGGGATGGACTACAAAACCCATTATCCCCGCCTCTCCACCGGCCGCGGGTCTGGGCGTCCTGCAGAGTCTTCCCCTAACCGGTCCGCCTGCTTGGGGGGCTCTCAGGGAGTCTCTTGGACTCCAAACCCCATCATTCTGTGTTTGTGTGTGTGTGTGTGATGGGCCTTGGAGTCCACCGTATTTTGAAGACTACCAGTGCATTTATTTGATGAGGTCGATACACCCTGCAAAAAACAAAAAATAATGGTGATCGGATAATGGAAATGGGTCAGGCCAGGTAGTCCTCGTTTAGCGACTGCCCCATTTAGTGACCGAAGGAACGCTGGAGGGAGAATCATCAGCGCAGTCACCATTTCATCTGCCAGTGGCTTAGGATACAACCTGTATCCTAAAAGAGGGTGCCTTCTCTTGGCCAGGCTCTTTCTGACCGCTTTATGACATAGGGAAACTGAAGTGGTTGTAAGTGAGAGGACCTATCCTAAATCACTTAATTGGGCTGTTTCCTGGGTTCGGGAGTTGGAGTCAGAGTCTTTCCTTTCATTCAATCTCCCTTCCAAATTCCGTAACGCAGACAAAGACCAATTTTTTGCTTTTTAGGTGACTTCCAGCATCTCTTCAAACATTCATCTCAATTTGAATAATCCTAAAAACTTCCGAAACACCTAGAAAAAGAAATAGAGGAATATGCCCATCGAGCATTAAATGCCCAGGGATTTGACGTTTATCCAGGCCTCTGTAAGGTGAAAATACTTTACAATCCAATGGAGATTCTCAGTCATCCAGATCGTGGTTGTCCCAAAGGTGCTTTTTCCAACTGGAGTTTCTTTGGTTTACTTGAAAACATTTGGCTTCTCATCCAAGAAGCTTCTTCAGAACGGAAGGAGAGAAAAAAATACCCCAAAAATCCACTTGCCTTTGGAGAAACACCTTTGGGATTTAACAATCCAAGCTTTCCAGCAGGTTGTCATTAATGAAGTCTATTTCAAAATATTTAATATTACTACTATACAGAAAGTCCCAAGAATTCTTTCTTGACATATTTTTGTATTAAATATTAAATATTCTATTTAATAGCTAGAGAGATAGAGACAGAGATTAGATAGATAGATAGATAGATAGATAGATAGATAGATAGATAGATAGAGAATATATCTCATCTATATCTCTATATATCTATACACACACACACATATATGTATATATAAAACATATACACACACACACACACACACACACACACACACACACACACATATATATATATATATATATATATATAT